GTAAGCACCACTCCCATCGAGGATTCACGTCGAATATCTCGTTCAGTGCTGTGATGTTCTTCACTAAGAGGCCCACTAATAGGCAGCCTATAAAGGTGCAGATCAGTAACGGCTTCCAAACGATCAACGTCAAACATGGGTCAGGAGAAGATGTACACATCATCGCGCGTGATGCCTGACTCACTATTGCAGTGCTGATAGGGCATTTAGTCGACTCTTGGCCATTACGCATTACCGTGGTATTACTTTGTTTGTAGCAACCGCGATGCTGGCTGGAGCCTCATGACATTGTTAAAGCACCTCCATGTAGCTAACGCTTCAGATATTTCCAGAATCGATGTTCAAAATCCACCAAATAACCCATTCAAATAAAAAATAGCTCATTTTTAGTTAAGGAAAGATCTCCAGAATGTTGCGTTTAGAAACGTTTACCGACATTGATTGACAATCGCACCTTCATTATTGTTCCAAAGGAAAGCAAAATGGCTGCTAAATAAACGTGAACGAACGAAATTCACTTTCTACAGGGTAGGTTATAAATAGGATGACAGGACTGACTGCAGCAAGTGCTTACTGAACGAGGAGCAGACCTCATGACCAAACCTACAGATTCGCAATTGTCTTTTGTCTATTATGTTTTTATGGTTTTGTGATCATTATGTGGTGAATGGCTCCACTAAATCCGAAGCCAGCAGGATTTCAATCTCACGCGGTGCCGGGTAGATTCTGCCGCCGCCGAGGATGCATCGCCAGGCCGTCATACGACTTTCAACCGTAGAACACGTAATGGTCTTTCTCATGGATGTCACAGGTTACGGAAACCAAAGGGGTGACTTTGAAGGTTGTCAGAAGCGTGTCCACCGCGATTCCATGAAGATTATGATAAAATTCGCTACGGATTCGAAAGCACCGGGAAAAGCTTTGCGAGGAGCTTTGCAAAGAAAGCGCGTAGTGCAAGTTCATGAATACCGTAAGCGTTGAGCTCCCTCGGATAGGGACAGGAGAGCAGAGGTAAAAATATCGTGGACTTTGGGCACGGGCCGTAAAGGGCATCCGTTGAATTGAACCGGAGGCAGCGATTTCTTCATGTTAGTTATATCGGCTTGTGTGGAAGTAAAATCTTGAGCCAAATGCTACCCTAAAATAGCATTTCGAAGAGAAGTTTCGTCGCTTTCACTACCCGTAATGATTGGATTTACTGACAGTGCAGTGCGCCGGTTCATGCATTGAATTTTGAGCAAGTCTGCTGCAGAACCCATTTGTTCGTCTTTGGGCCGGACAAAATTTAACCAGCCAAAACTTCTACCCTAATTTCCGGTAGATAAGCCCGCGCCGATTTCACGTAAAAATATCTCCGCTCGTTCGGTGCAATTACACCTTAGAAACTACCGTGAAATTGCCTGTATGGGTAATTCGATGCCATGATTACAAAAATGACTTTTACGCGGTGGCGCCCTCTGGCGTCACCATCACGCCATTTGTTTTCAAAAAAGTTTAGAGAAATGCAAAGAATTCGGCGGATCGATGCCTAGAGACCGTTATGAAAATACTGGCAGAAGAAAAGTTTCAATTTATAGATTTTAGTGACTTTTACCACTTCTCATTTTAAGAAACTTATGGGAGTTTGAAGGCTGAAAACAAGCGTTTCGGGAGAGTTGCCTGAAAAATCCATAGAAGGAACAACGGAACAACGGAACTATTCTTGAAGTGACCCTCAAAAGCCATGATCCTCTATTTCTAATCAGCCTCACTGCAAAAGTTAATTATGAAGGAAGTTATAAATGTTTGAATGATGAAAACTCGCGCATTCTTGAAAATCGGACCACAGACCCTGAAAAACGCAACAACGGGAGCAAACGTTGAGAGAGTAATCTTCGAAAACGGTTACAGAGCTTCGTACGCTAACTTCTGGTTTCCAATTTACCTTAGACAAATTCAGAAAATTGATTGTGAAGGAAGTTATTAACGTTTGAAGTTGAAAACGTAACAACGGGACGATTTTTAGAACAATTGAATATATTTGCGACGGTTACACTGCTTAGACAGAAGACACGCTGAAGTTCTGAAATTCCTATATCCCGTTTTATAAGAGCGCACTTGGGAAGGCATAACCGTCAAATAAACCTTTAATGAAGGGCTCGCAACAACATCATCTTCTTTATAAAAAAGGAAGAGTTGAAGTTTCTGAGAAAATTTGGTAGTTTTCTGAAGTCGATTTTGCGATCACAAATCTATCTAAGTTCATGCGTAACTGTTAGAAGCACCTCTATTCAATGAGTAGAATTTCATGTTGCCCCTATTCCCGTACTCTGTGGTAGAAAAAAAAGGGCGACGCATTAACTTCCCACTGCCCTCCTCCTCTTTCCATGTCAATGACGGCCCATACATGTGGTGAGAGTAGAAATGTGTGAATAGATATGAAGATGCTGATATAAGGGGACGTACTGATACCCACTAAAGGAGAGGCTGTTTCGAAATATGCGCAACGGGCTGCTGACGCCGCAACATACACGAGAAAATTCGCAGGACACCTGAAATTCGGTTGGTTCACTGGATGTCATGAGAACAGGCATCGAAGGCTATCTAGATCTTCCGAATTAATTGCTATCTAAAGCTTATGACATCATTGGGAACCATTTCTGAACCTTTGGGCAGGAGGGAACCCTCACTTGTGCAAGGCGGTGCAGAACTGGTGCAAGTTCAACTTCGCCGAGTTCATTACGTGGCTGACTGATTTGCCTGCTTTGATAGAAGGATTCATTTGAGGAGTTACTCCAGAAGGCATGGGACGAGAGAACGCACTGTACTTGCGTGGTTGAGTCTATGCTTGTTCTACGCGCCTGAGACCTGTATCATAAGGAGCACGAGCGGAGGAGTTTTTTTTTAATATTCTATGGCTTTGATTTGAGTGTGGACGGTGAATGTCTCCGCATTTTCGGTTTTTAAAACTGTGGCGTTTTTTTATTCTGGATGACTCGAATACCATTTCGATGTGATTTTATGGAACTCTGTAAAAATTCTCTCAGTCGTCAATGAGGGAAGGACACGGTTAATCAATAAATAAGGGCAAATCAAAGAGAAAATCCGGAATTGCGCTCTACACCAACGAGCGAAAAATCGGAAAAGGGTGACGCCTTAGCTAAGAGTTCAAAGATCAGTCAGTGTCATTTGAACAAATTCTCGTTGAAATATGTACTTGTACCTGTAATGTCGAAATTCTCACACTATACCTAGGAAAGCAGGGAGATGAATGTCCGGTTCACATCAATGATACACAAACGACCACTTATCTGCTGCCAAAGAAATCAACTTTCGACGAAGTTTCAAAGAATTCTTCTCATCGTTGATTGAAAATTTGATTTAAATGTCTGTATATGCAGCGTCGAGCTATGGCTTTCGCTAAGACCTCTCTTCTGAAGAAAGACCAAGTTGGCAGATTCTTTTGACGCCATCTCTATCCTCAAAAATATTAGGTTGTCCCATAATTAGTGAATCACTTTGGGCATTTTTGAATTTTAATTCTTTTTTCTTTCTCATATGAAGTGCATGCTCATCTGAACATATACATGTTATCTACAAGCTATTTCCTATATATGGGAATTTAGTCGCTGTCTGTTCCCTAGAATTCCAGGAGTTATTGATCAAAAAAAGATCGGAGATCGGGTTTGAGGGGGGGGGTCCTTCAGGACATGGAGCGTTTTTTTAAATGGTTACCTGGGTGTTGTAGAGACCCATGTGAGGAACACAGAACCATGGTCCACTTTTCCTTACGCCCCCAGGTATGTCAAGAGAGCGGGAAAGAAATGGTCCTTAGCTCGATCCCCCGTGACGACAAATTTTTGAATCTGTGTTGGTGCCTCCAAATTGCCGCAGAACGCGACAATGCCATCTATACTCGACGATGGCACCATGTGGCGGCAATCTGACCGCGCCAAACTATATTACAAAAATTAGTCATCACCGGGGATTGGACTCTGGACCATATTTCACAACTATTTTAATATTCCTGGAGGCGTTCAGAAAAGATGAATCATGGTTCTGTGTTCCTCGCATGAGCCCCTACGATATAAAGAAAACCATTTCGAAAAATCGCTCCATGTCCTGAAAGACCTTCCTTGTTAGCGTAAAATTTCTTCCTGAGCAATAATGGTACAAGAAAGTCTAGGTGATCTTTCGCTGGTACGAGGGTAGGGCTACTCGGTGGAGCTGGTGGAGCTGCTACCCCAAAGGTCTCCAATTTTTTATGAAAATATTCGAAAGGTGGAGTCGAATGACCTCAAGAAAAGACCAGACTTTGTCTTGCTTTACCCTCAGATAGAACGCGTCGCCATTATGCTGTCAACGTTTGCCTTACTCACTGACACTAGTATTACTTTGCAGAGGTTCCCAACGCAAGGTCCCTTCTGTGCTCCACTAAAATCTCAGAAGTGTCGAACATAGAGGAGGTTGGGCTTTCGCTGTCAAAACTCCTGAATATTTTAAGCTAGGCTACTGCTCTTTGTGAATTTGCTAGCACACTCCGCCCACTTCACAACATTGGTGAGTACGCAAGATGATCACTGAAAAGAACTCTGGGAAGCCAGAAGGAACATGGCGATTTCATATCGTATTTGGGGGAAGATCCCAGAAAACCTCAAAGTTTAACCTTCGGAAGGCAACATGTGAATGGGCTGCCAGATTGCTCATAGGACAATGTGGGTGCTACCTGGCAAAACATGCTCCACGCCTCCAAGGTTTTTCTTGCAATTTATAGCAGTAAATGTGGAGTGATTCATTAATTATGGGACAACCTAATAAAAGCACACGTGTACGAATAAAATAGACTCCCAGCTAACTGTCCTTGAACGCATCCTAACGCATTTATTTTTTTTTGTTTGCGAGACGACTGCGCGAACACCATATGCTTATTAACTGCGAAACAATCTTTTTTATCACTGACATGTCAAACTGCTTCGATGACGATATGCCAGTCAGTTCCACTGTTGGGATCTTGCCATCAGTTAGAGGAACCTACCGAGCAAAGGTGGAAGAGAAGTGTAGTGGAACACTCTTCCAACGCAAAGTGACGTGATGAGAAGGAATAAAATTGAGAACGCGGAAGTGATGAGGGCAGCAGAATCAGCTGGTGGTACGGATCGAGTTGAATTTGAGCCAGTGAAAGGATGAACTGAAAAGTGGGAACGCTCTATCTTTCCAGAAGTTAGAAAAGATTTACGCACTCACTAAAATTTCGTCCAAATGCAGCCAAGACGGTGAGGTAGAGAGCCATCAGAATTATGCATGATGTGATCAGCATGTTTACCTGAAATTACTCGAACACTATCGAATATTATACTGAAGCGAGTCAGAAGAATAGCACTGGTCTAGCCCTTCACCCGGGTGAAGATGCTCTGGTCCATTGCTGTAGAAACCAGTCATTGGTGGATCTGTAGCATCAAATTAAGATCTAAATTTTCATGGAAATGTATCTTGTGAACTAAAATCCGCAATCACACTCAACTCACACTCACACGACACATGGCACTCTCTTACTTGAATTTTTAGTTTCGAATTCGAAGTTAGCTAACGATTCATGGACATACAGACGATTCTCGCACCGATCCACTGTATTCTCCAATGCAGCGCTTGTCCCAGATCAGTGTACCGTAGGACGGGTTTGTGAAGAAAAGTTGCCTGGCAAGGTTTTGAGGTACAGTATTTGTAATGACTGCCTACTTGCAGATCGTAGTAACCGCGCTCAGGCAGATCGCGGTTTCACAATGAACGGATGTGATTTTTCATCGGTTTGATTCGGCGGGCAATTTAGATCTGTAAGTTTCCGGTCAAAACTTCGAAGATGGAGGGGCAAACCCGATCTTTTTCGAATTCTGTAAATTCTGCATGAGTTGTAGCGCTTTGAAAGATCAAGTAACCCATCCATTCGCCACCGTATGAAGAGAGTTAAAACTTTTTTGGGGGATGAAAGTCAGCTTTTGCGCGCATTCTTTCTATAAGAGAACAAAGTAAGAAACTGTGAGTCGTGGCTCACTCTGTTTTGGCATGGTATTAACTTTCACAGCAGTATTCGATACCGATTCGCTGTCGTCCAGGAAGGGCTACTGTATGAGAAGGGAATGTAACATTACAGAAATGTAACCAATTTGCTTCAAGCAATTTATTCCGAAAGATTGATTCACGAATTCTTACTGTCCCGAAATTTGCAGCTGCCAACGATTATTCGTACAAAGCTTGAGTACGGAATATAGTCAATTGATGCCTTCGCCCCTAAAAGATGGCTTTATGGATGATGCTACGCGCACTGGGTAGCTCCCAAACGCTTCTCCATCGGGCAAGGATAATTCGGAGACAGTTTGCAGAGTAGAGCAACAGATTTTCCCCCTGAAGCATGTATATGGAAAAGTTAAGTACAGGCTACCTTCTGAATACTAAATTTCCAGAAGAAAATCAGCGACGCAACAACAAAACACACGAGACGAAATTCAATCCTGAGACGCTCCGTCTTGGGAAGCCCTTTTCCAACACTAGGCAACCGCAGAGTACTCAATCGCTAGCTGCCTCTGATCAATGACTGGTCTTATGAATCGAAAACCGCTGGTATTGTCGCAGGAGTAGTGAAATCTTCTTCTTGATGAGCATTTGCTTTCTTTGCTTTTCACGGAGAACCTATTTAAATGAGTTGATCGAATAATGAGCAAAACAGCACTTGCCGAGAAGTCGATCTCACGACACCTTTCCCAATAGTCCAGACCACTACAATTGTAGGAGTTGTGTTTCGTTGGATGTAATCCTGCCCTGGTCCACTTCGACCCCTATTCTTTCAGAGTTAGATAAGTGGCAATAATTTGTTTATACTGCCTGGGCAATTGGATTCCTCCCTCATTTCTTTGTGTGAATTAAATGAGCTCAAACACCCTTGAAATCGCCGGACAAGGACGGTTTTGTTTATCTTTTGTCGATTTGCATTTATTTTTGGGTGAATAATTTTACTTTTTTGCATTCGCGCTTCACCTTCAGGACCCACCGTCTCTCAAAGTTCCCACAAGATCTTATGAAGCCTCAAACTATGTATGTTGTGAGAAAGTAAGCTATGAAACTCACATGATTATTTCTGAATATAGTAATGAAGGTCTGCACGAGAGAATTTCTCCTCATTGATCCACGATACACAGTGTCTCCAATCCAAATTTTCTATATACTAGAAGAATGACGATGATTACTAGAAGACCATGAGACCAATGGATTTATCGAAATGAAAAAGTTGAAGTTCGCCAGTTGAACCGAAGTCGGGAAGTACAATGGAAATTGGGAAAATGGAAAGTGTAAGGTAGCAAGGAAACTACTATTATGAATACGTTCGAAGCTCCAATCACAGAAAAAGGGCAGGACTGACATATCCTTCTAACTTTGTTTTCGCGGAGGTATGAGGAGATGGTATCATAAAAGCCTGATCCCCGGTTCAAAGCTTGCATTGGTTGAAGCAACTTTGAACTTGTCAGTTCTATTTATGGTATTAACTTCCAAAATAACGAGAGCTATCAAAGTTTCAAGGTCATTGAAAGGAAAGAAAACGATATGAAGAGAAGAATTTAACCATATCATTAAGTAGAAGAGCCTAATCATTCCCGTCACAAAGTCATAAAAATGAAAAGTTCATAGACATAAAAGAGATTCTGACTTCCAAAATGTGAATGATTGGCAGACTCTTAGCAGGACAAGCTTGTCAAGGCTCCTGCAGGCAAGCCAATGTTGGGCGGGAACGTGATCCAGACTTTTTTTTCTCCTTCCTTCTGATCGCTAATCCTGATCAGGGTTAGGGTCCGCAGCTCTTATCGGGCTACGCCATCCTCCTCTCGTCAAGGGCGTTTTCTAGCGTCAGCCGACGGGGGTAATCCTCTTTGACACTCCTTCCCTTTCTTTTGATACCGGAGATTTCTAATCGGTGTCCAGGTTTGTGAGTACGCGCCCACATCTACTCAACTGTTTTTACTATCCTATTATCTTACATTCGTAGCTTAAAGTGCGCTGGGAGAGAACCTTCTCCATGATCTCATTCCCAATTTTCTTCAGAGAGCCTATCGCAGTTTTCGGATCTCCTCCCCATATTGTTTCGCAACTAAATATCATTCCTAGTGTACAGTGCATTCCGCAACAAAACTCGATGCCACGTAGAATTGTAGACCTTTCCAGGCCTGGAACTCCACTCATCATAGATCGCTAGAGAGCTCTTCAATTCCTGTTTGGGATGCGGCACGCATTCCACTTCCATTTGTACATTCGTAGTGGCGTTTGAATGCGATGTGGCCTATGCAATGACTTGCGGGGGCCAGCCCCTGTTCAAGTCAGTGTTTTTATCCTCCCAGACAAGTCTGATACCAATTCACCGACCACGGAGGGATGAAAGGCTTGATTGACCCAGGCGACTCATAACCCATTATTTGATACGGCCATTCCTGTGGTAGGCGTGCCACTTGCCACTACACCACTTCTGCCCCATCGTTCATGATACTGTGTATATTTTCGGGAGACCAATCGTACTGCCATATCACGGTCAGAGTTTTACTATGAGATGAATCGTGAGTTGCTAAAAAGTTTGAGGACTTTCGAAATGTTGGTACCCATTACGGCATCTATAATACATATAACTACAACTGCAAAGGATAAAAAGTGCCTGAATGAATTTCAAATGAGTAGAATCTCAAAGTAGCAGATAAAAAAAGTTAGGCCGCGGCTTGTTGCGATCCTTCAAAACTGTGCGTGAGATAATGAAATTGCAATTGAGAGAGCCATCTTTCGGGAAGCAACAGCTTTGCGGAAGAGGACTGAGCAGAAAACGAAGCATGAAAACAGGCGAATCACTGAATATAGCTCGAGAAGATTTCCAGTATATTCAAGGAAAAGAGTTCAATAAGTGCTTGTGGTCACGAAGATGTAGTCCTATTCCAGATGAACATGCACCTTCAAAAGGGAACAAGCTCAGCACCAAGAATTGGAGGAATAAGTTCCCTGTACATCAACTAATCAGAAGACGAAACATAAAAATTTGACAGCAAAGGGCTACCTAGTTATTTTAACGGGTTTCCACAAGAGGGGGCTTCATAGAACACGGTACGACGCACAGTGACGCACACATGGCATTTGTCCTGTGGACTATGCAATAAGCGGCTGAAACAACGACGAGAGGAGTGGTAGTTGAAATCCTATGCAGTTGAAAACTAGTTTCTAGTCACTTCATCATGCCAGTGCTACATTCGCTTAGCCTAGTCAACGCCAGATCAGAGACGCTCGCTACGCATTCATTATATCGTCGCGCATATTCATGTAGCACGCTATCGAGTGACAACTGGCCGAAAATTATTCCGACATGAGTCACGGAGTGAAAAATCGCAGTTTACTGCCCTGATCACGAAAGCAACTACAGCGAAAAAAGGCCGTGGTGCCATATCTACGAGATGAAGCACATGAAAAACGGCTGATTGATGATGGTCGTCTTCGCGTAAACCTGGAGCTGAGACGGGACAGGACATGTTCTTGGAAATGCCTGAACCGGCACTACTGCACTGTACTGTTCAATGGATTCGCAATAAGAAATCGCCAACATATTAGGAAGGGTAATGGACGATTAGATGTTTCCGCAATGTTTCACAGTTGTAAAATGTTAAGGGTATCAGAGATGGCTTTCGGTGGAATCGGTGGAGAACACCGAATGCCTCGCCTTGAGAGAAAAAAATTGAAGAAAACGGGTTTCCTCTCAAGAAATGCTCGCATTTCACGACTGGTGCAGAACAAACATATTTCAGCAACGTTGATAACTTTATATTGGTGCTCAAAGAATGAATACCAGCAGGGAGGGATAGGTTGCGGGAACTGAAGCCGCATTTTCTTAGACGTTGTTGTGCTTTCTTTCATATCCGAGCACCATGTTGGAGCTATCGAAGTGCACTCTCATAACGAACGGCTCCTTTTCAAGGACATGGTAATATTTAAGATGGCGTCAAATTTTGCGACAGAACGTTTTGCTTTCGCTTCATGTGGTAAAGAGTTGAAATTATTAAGTTTCGAGAGATTTGGAAGAGTTTCATGTAAGACGAAAAAGTGCATCCCTTCTTTAAAGAGGTTCATCGTCATTATTGGGCGACAGCGCCCATATTGGAGAGCGCACGAAAAATGCGATTGACCTTACCGAAAATTGGCCTGACTTCCACTAAGTGGTTGACTGTGTGAAGTTTCTTCGATGGCAGTTCTCTAGGGCTCACGATAGATTCTTCCAAATAATGCTAGAGCAGAAAACTGTTACTGTGGTTGGGTCTTTTGCAGGCAGGGTTGCGGAGATCAGCAAACTATGTTGCCGTTTTCTATATTTTTTGAGGGCAGAATCGATGCAGAAGTAAGTCGAGCTGCTTACCACGCGCACGGCCCGAGGATCAAACCCTGGTCCCATCGGCTGAACCAACCGAACTTTTCGTCCCTTCCTGTGTGTAGTTGGACAATCATACATCATAACATCTGACATCATGCCACTGTGTTTCTGAATGCATGTGGAATGCTTGCCATGTCTCAAAAAGAACTGATCCTCGCTAAATGATTCATCCTTTACCTTTTCATGCTTTCCGATTCCAGAGATACCCAACGTTAAAAGCACAACCAGCATATGCCATGCTTGTTACGAGGCTAGCTTAATAATTACGAGAGCATAAATACAATTTGCGCAAGTCATAACCACTTTATTGTTACCTAGATGGCCCACTTTGTTTTAACAAGAGCCGTGGCAGACGAGTTCCCGTAAAAGAAAGTTACTACCTTTGCTCCCTGCTGTGTAAAATACTCCCCTGTGATTCGATAAATTAATCATTCACTATCACTGACACCACTCACTTTGCGTTGTGTTCGGAAAAATGGCTTGTGATATGATTTATCGCTGTCGAACCGAAGTGAATGTGCACAAAAACAATTCCGGATCGGACAGTGGCAGTCGTACGCACATGAACAAAAAGCGCGAAAAACTCGCGGATTCCGATAGTGCGGTTTCGTTTTGCGCGTCGGGGCAGAGTTCAATTTCGAGTATTCGGTTACCAATTACATTTTGATGGCCGTATTAATAGCGTGCGAGGACTCAACTTCTTCCCTTCTTCTCTCTTTCCTTCTTCAGAACCATGTTAATGTTTGAGCGCTAGAGGGTTTGCTTGTTTCTTTATGAGGTGCTTGCCATGACTTTGCTTGCTAGCATTTGTGACACCAGTAAATGTTGAGAGAAAGAGCTTGTCCTCTGCAGTTTTTGTCCTTTCAGCCCAAGGTCTTAGGATTTAGGCACACCACTCATTTTTTACATCACAAGCGCTACACCATGTCTAAAAAAAAAAGAAACAAAAAAAAAAAAAAAAAACAAACTAGACCCAATGCCAAGGCTAAAGCAATGTGTAAACATCAGTCGAACTGACCTGGCCGCCATAATCTAGTCTGCATGCCAAACGCGTAACCTGACATCCCTGACCCAGCCGACTCTTCTTAGTAACACATGCCTTTCAGCAACTTCGAGAGATCATAAGTACCATACTTTCCATAATTTCTGAGAATAAGGACAAGGTCATACAAAAAGTTTCGTAATTCTAAGATAGCGCTAAATGCTGACCCCGCAAAGTCACCGACTCACACCAACTTCTTTATCCCGGAACTTACCCTGTCTCAATGACCAACAGAAATTGTGCAATTGCAGAAATTGAAGTGGCATTAACGTGGCATCGATTCAAGAACATCTTTGAGCACACGTGAAGTCAACCTTTCATCAAGAATTCAAGCACATGTGCCCGTGGGTTTGAATCCTCGGTGAAAGTGTGACATCACGTGTGCTCAAAGATGTTCTTGAATCGATGCCACGTTAATGCCACTTCAATTTCTGCAATTGCACAATTTCTGGTCATTTGAAGGCAAGGGTAATTCTTCGTTTAGCCTTGAGAGGTTAGTTCACCCAAGCGTCTGCTTGTCGTCGCACTTCGGCTTAGTCAGAAAAAAAAAACTCGGCTCTCCTTTAGAGCAATATTCCATGCATGTAAGCAGTCAACTGTTCTGCAGTAAGTGCTTCTGTCTCGAGATGCGTCACGCCACGTCTGTAGGTAGAAGTCGGAGGCATTTGAACAGGGTCAACCCTAACAATGGCA